AAAGACAACTGTTTCCAGATAGCAGTGGAATTTATTTGGTTTTCTGTTGTCCGAATATTATGATTTTTAGTGTGTATGCATGTAAACGAATTAATAAAAAATTTGCAGACATGTAGGCACACACAGTTTCATCTTAAGAGTAGGGCATATAATATACTATATATATATATATATATATATATATATATATATATATATATGGGAAATTTGTGTAAAAAAGGCATATCACTTTTCTTGTTACTGTTTTTATTATTAATAATAATCAAGCTATAAGGAAGGCTGGCTTAACATCAACACTAGATTAAAATATCAGCCACACCAAGAGTAGGAGGTGTAATTTGTTGGTGCACAATACATATGCTGAAAGAATGGGAATGTGGGTGGGTCGGTGGAGGGAGAATAATTAAAGATAAGCGACATAGGGAAATTTTTTGTCGGAGCGAACCGTATTAAGGATATGTGCCTATAGACAGATAAATATTTTTTATCAAAATTTATACGCGCCTGACTCTATTTCGTCAATGTAACTCTCTCTCACTACCTACCTACCTACCTATCTGTGATTTATTTCTCCGAGTAATTTCGAACAAATGCAGTCTTACATTTTTCTAGGGTGTGTATTCGTTACTGTGATATATCTTTAATATTACACAGACACTCGGTACAAAATCCCATGGATTAATAAATAGTCTTGTAGTTATATCCTAAAGTCTGTTTGAATATTTTTGTGGATCAACTATGAAAAAAGCTAATTACTGAGTTAGATATAATATAGGGAAAAGCAGATTCTCTCACTGACACTTATCTTATGATGCTAACGAAACACGACGCACATTTATCTTAACTAGAGAAACTTAATAGCTGGTTTGAAAATGTGGTAAAGGTTCAATAGAAAAAGGAACAATGATACGGTATAGCGCCACTTGGACACAAGTGATAACCAAGAATCCTTGATGCAGTAGGCCGCAAATATCAGTGTGAAATCATAAAAATGCAGCTTTAAGGGTTTAACCTTGAAGCCAGAAGCCTAGATATGAATATGAAGTAATATTTGCTGTCATAGACCCGCAAGAACTATGAAGTCATCCAAATAAACACTTCATAACATATTTACCAATCCTTAATTTCATGTTAAATATCTAAATAATATATTACTTGTGTCAGTACGTGAACACTACAACGCTACAATAAGCACCGTAGTCAAGTTGTGTTATAAACCCACTCGAAAAGTTGACAAGGTGAAAATGTTGGCCTGAGTAATACCTACCTATTTTGACTTAGTACTATTGGACTCCTCGATGGGCAATCTTAGTCGACGTAGTATCAGGTTGGAAAACAGTTGGTTTGAGCCACGTCTCCAGGTGTAGATTTTCTGACTGCCTGGTTGGGGTCCTCGGGATAGTAAAAACCAATGACTAGAGACACTTTGCGATATGGTTCAAAGTCGTTCTCAATGGCGCAGATGCATTCACTCTGTGATTTATCATATCTAATAACACTCTATTGTTTTTCCATATTACTATTCTTTTTCCCTTACACTTCTGTTTATTATCTGTCTTCTAGACTTCTCTCTACTCTCTTCTCTTGCTTTGTGTGCTACATGGAGTGCGGCAACTTGAACTGCTGCACATCTGTGCACGTCTCTACGTTGAAATCAGTCCAGTCCAATCAAGTCAATTTGAATTATTTAGTTTCCAACTTATATAAATTCAGTTTGTTTTATTCCTCAATAAATTACTGATGGATATATAATTCTTTCCAGGATAAGTTTTCAGATAGACTGTCTGCATCTTAACTCATAAATAGGCGAATTAAGTAAGGATTCTGCTAATTATATAGAATGATTTGCCAAGCAGTTCATGTTTGAATTTAACAAATTCTGTCATCATTTGTCGTTTAAAACCTTCAACTAACACTTCCCAGGATAAAGAAGTCTTCAGACTTATTCACAGTCCTCCTAGTCATTAGCAAAAAAAGGTAGCGAAGAAATTGCCTGAGTGAATGTAAGGCCTGTATATAATTATTTTTCAGATACGTCGGTGTAAACAAGTATTGCTAACTAGCCAATCTTTGACTTGGACTGTAGTCAAACGGAAGAATATTTTAACCCATCCCTAACCTTTTAGAAAACTACAAAAAGTACACTCTTCTTACTACACTAAGAACTAGCAATAAACAAAATGCTGCAAGACAAAGTTTTATGTTTCACAAAATAAGGTCCTCTTGTAATAACTAAATGTAAAAGTTACTTAGATTTAGTAAAGTCATCTGTCTTAGTAATTTCAATAAGAGTTCTTTGAATGAAGCCGTCTCTGAGTGAGTCTAAATGGTTTAATTTAATGCCTAAAACTAATAATGCTAGTAGAATGTATGGTACTATAAAAATACATAAGCCAGGTTACCCCATACGACCAATAGTAGATTTCAGAAATACCCCTACTTATGAATTATCAAAACACTTAGCTCTAATATTATGCCCCATTAGAAATCGTTCAATATCTAGATTATTAACTAATTCATATGAGATGAAAAATAAACTAAATGACATTCAACTAGAGGCGTGAGTAACTTGATATGATTATGAGCAGCGATAATTTGTGCTCGAAACGTCATCAGTTAATATTACTGTGTAACACTGTGTGATTTATCAAAATAAAATCTTATCCATAATGGAGTTACACTCTACCACAGTGCCCAAGTTTTATACTCATATCAATTCTTTGAAATATCAATAGAAAAAAAACTTTATTTAGATTAAACACCTTTAATATAAAAAGTTTACCACTGAAATTATGCGTCTTTTTAAAAAGTTTTTATCATATTTCTCAATGATTCAATAGTTCAGTTATTTAGTTCCCTTAAAAAAAAATACCACTGGTGATCCTTCTTCTTAGACCGCGAAGTTATAATACGCTACTTAGCTAAGAAATATATCGGGAATTATCCCTACGTTAAAATGCAGTAATTCACAAACAAGTTCATGAAAACAGGTGCTGAATTACACATCTTGGTAAATAATCATGAAGATTTAAAACAACTGTATCGTAAATAAAAAAATAGTAGGAGATGAATCTCTACTTGTTGAAGAAGTCAATAATCAAATCAAATGAACGGCTCTGATGAAATGATGCTTTCGTCACATGCGATAATAGGCATCATTTATGTGGTCACACTCACACACACACACTTTTAATACATTTGAAACGTTGATAATAATAAATCGACATAGAAATATAAATAGTTCATTGTAACTGATTACTGTTATTGTCCATTTATGCATTCAAGGTATTAAATAGAAAGTGATGTAAACTACATTTCAAAACACATATTTATAAGTGTCTACCACTGATTGATGGATATTTATATATATAAAAGTTTGTGCATTTTTGGGGTTTTCAACCGGTTAGCAAATAGCTTATCAATCAGTTAGTTATTTAGTTAGTCAATCAGTCAATCATTCACTTGGCAGATCCATTAAAACGCAATCAATAAACGAAGATTTTCCAATATATCCTTTATGAATTTTTTACAGCTGACCTGGTGGTAATATTCATGAAGGTGGTAATTAGGTGGTACATGTTTTACAACACCTTGATTTGTTGGTTTCAGTATATATATGCATATTTGTTTACTACATTCAATGCTATGCAATTTGTAGTTATTTACAGAATTCTCATTTACAATTAAGAATAACTGGTAAACAGAAATGTGTATAGCACTGATTGTGAATAACCGTTCATTTGTAATATAACAATGAAAATAAATAACACACTTCTGGTAAATCAGTCATCCTCATGTGTTTGGCAACATTTAACAAAACTACAATGGAAAGTAGGGAAGAAAAATGGATGATGTGTATTTCAACGGAATAACAACATAATGTGGATTTAAACTGTCGGTTCCCCTTAGTTTAGGACACAGTGTTTAAAGTTAAAAGCACAACAACTCAGGAAACTGGAGGCTTTCAGTAAGTATGCTCTAACACTTAACACTTCCTAACAATCTCCACCATCTTTATGATATACAAACATGAAAAAAAGAAGACGCTTGCTTTCTTTTGACTTACAGAAGAAAAAAAGGGTAGCAGCTTAAGTTCGGTGTGGAATTCAATTTGATGAACTAAATAAAAGTGGGTGGAGGAAAAGGCAAGCGATTTAGTCTACAACACAGAAAGGATTGGAACTGAACATAGTCTGATCAACCTTAATTATATGAATTTTGACTTTAGCACAGTGTCAATACTCTTTTTTTCCGAAGTAATAAATTTATTTTACCTTGAAAAACTTGTCGAGTGGAGTTTTATCCATCCGTGATGTCAAAAAAAGGCTCCCCTAAATGGTTACAGATCATGTTAGTGAGTACTCCCTTGAGATAATGAACCCATATTTTTATTCACTTTTTTTTCTACGAATATATAAAACAAAATGTGGATGTATCGTTCGGAATATTCTAGATCTCTTGTTGACTGCTTTTTTTCTCGATATTGTGTTCATTATTTCAAAAGTATTGAACTTCACTCATACCTTTCAGAGTCCTTCCACATATACATATGTATATAATGTGTCACATACAAGTTACTTGGTTCGATATCTATGCTGGAATTCCGCATATTCCATTTAAACAGCAAATGGTTTCTGTTCACACACTATACTGCTAATTCATGATTTATGCTTATTTCATCATTCTAAAACGTATTATATGGGCCTCTTTCCTTTTCGCTGATTCCTATTTGAACTTGCATAACAACCATCACAACTGAAAGATGACGTTCTTTCAAAGAAAACAAAACAGAGCCATTCAGTTTAGAGTAATAAGAATATCGTCACACAGAAGTCCTTCACAGACACAATTTACTAAACTCTCTGGTTTAATGTTAATTATGGTCTCAGGGATTATCAGTACTATTATGCACAGAAATGATGAGGGTAAAGGCATAGTATTATGAATAGTCATTTTTTTATCATTGAAAAATGAGTATTTTTAACATAATTAGTACTTACCACGACCACTGCGTCCAAGAAATCGTAGGTCACTGAATCTTGCTTCATGTCCATGCATTACTGTAACTGGATTTTTCAACTCAGCACATGGTCGTTCTTCATTGCCTGCAGTTACTGTAACCCGTGTCCCATCCGGTACTGGGATTAAGCTGACTACACGGAATTGACTAGGCAGTGATTTGTTTGATCGCCAGTGTTTAGGTAGAGGTGTGCACAGCAAATGAGGATTACTTGTTGGTGCTAAATCGGTTGTATGCTCTCGTAGGGCACGTTTGAGTGTATATTCAGCGAGAAGGATGTCTGACATTTCAATATTCTATAAATCGAAGTAAATTTCTTGAACAAGCTTCAGTAAATGATGTGTTGTCAGTATGTTTTCAGATTATTTTGTGGTTTTTCGTTTAAAGAAATAAAATCACGGCACAGGTAAACGATGAGGAGTCTCACTTGGTCAGTGTTAACAGTATTCAGTTAATTTATTATGTGTATACAGAAAAAATGTGTAGAAAATGATGTCTGGTATCTAGTTAAGTTAATTAATCATACGCATTTACGAAATTAGCAAAAGACAGGTTTAGTTTGAGTATTTATTGTGTTTGTGTTAATAAAATGTCATTTTGTGGCTTTTAATTTTCAAGGTGTTAGATGCATATATATATATATATATATATATATATATATTCATGTGAACAGATGGATGGATTGCGGATATCATGGTTTTGAAGTGTTCATGTGCATGTATACCTGTCTGTGTGCGTAACCAAGTGAAATATGATTTGACCATTCATTGGATAATGCTTTATGCATAACATGATCTTGCTAGAAATATTGAAGTGAGAGAGTGAGAATGAAACAATACCCACCCCCACACTACACATAAAACTTCTGTTGGACCACTTACTGACTTTGTGCTGTTTTGTGAGGGTGAGAGTTGTAGAGATGTTACAGTAAGTACTTGCATCTCATTTGTGTATTTTGCAGCATATGGGCAGTTATTTTACGTGTGTTGGTTTCCGCGGCTACAATATGGTAATGGTGGTGGTGTGGCTGTCAACATAATTTTGTGTTTCTACATATATATATATATAATTCTCTGTGCCTATCTGGTCAACTTCTGTTTCACCTATATTTTTTTTTCAAAGCCTGAAAATTTCAAGGTGAGACAACACAGAAGCGGGAAGTGGTGATCTACCTAAATGATTGGTGAGAATTTCTAACCCCTTAAGTTTGTGGATGGAGTGAAAAGTATGCATTTGTGACTTCTTTGGTTAAGGGAAAATATGGGCAGAATTTCTGGCCACAAATGTAAAAGCGACCTACAGAAAATCAGACTATGCTAACTATGGGTAGACTAACACTTCATTTGAATAGGATGTGTGTGTGTGTTGTGCGTGTGTTCATGATGTGTTCATGATGAGAAAAGGCAGACAAACAAATATTTTATAAGGGGAAGAAATTGTTAAAATAGATATATATGTAGTTGCGAATATTTTTTCTTCCCTACTTTAATTGACACAGTTAGTTTGTCTGAAGGCGTAACACAGAAATCAAATATATATGGTTATGTGTGTACGTGTATATGTACGTATGGACACACGATTAACCATTAACACAGTAAGAGATAAGTTATTTTTCTAAAAAATAAGGTTATCTCATGAAATGAACAGTCCTACTAGAATGCACTTAAAATTCGTCTTCACTATCATCTGACAACCGAAAATAAAACATAAAAAGTATATTTTAAAAAATAAATAAATAAAAAGTGTGCAATTAAAAATTACACTGAAAATTGTGTTGAATTACTAAATTTCATTCCATCAAGGAACACTTGCCTTTTGCAGTATCTTGTCTTATCGCCCAAACTGTGTATGCATATTTCATTGGTTGAAATGAAAGCCACTAACTAGGGGCTGAGATCGATAAATCAAATCCGGTGAAGCTACGTGGGCACCATCGGAATAGGATTCAGCACATCGACAATTTAAAGTCCTATATCCATTGCATTTATTGATTGATAAGTTGCAGTCACCTTTCAAGCTGAAGTGACAACACTGATGATGACTACAGTTGGTAAATTCATGCATATAATCCAACCAGGCAGGGAGGCTGTTTCTCGACTGCAAAATATACATTGGAAAGAAGTAAATAAAACAGAGTTGCAGAGCAAATAAAAGTAAAAAGGTGCACGCAGACAATTTTGCCAAGTGAATGAACTTTTTTAATAGTTGGTTTGTAAGGATTAGATTGGTTTATACGAGTCGATCGCGGATTGATATCAGTTAGAGAAGCATTGAAAACCAACAAGGAGTACTGGACAGCTGCTGCTTCATCCTAGTTTGACAATCATCGGCAGTACGCACCAACTGCCACCATTCGAACCCACGACCTTCCAGTTACAAGGCGAGCTAGCTCGTATACCATTCAGCCACCGGAACCCGATTCAATGGCCAGTGTATGGATTCTAACTTCTACCAATTCGTGATTTAGCACGACCACCAACTGATATCAATCCATGATCAACTTGTAAAAACAAATCTAATCCTTACAAACCAACTATTAAAATATTTAATCTGATGCTCCCTAGTGACTTGCTACAGGACGGAGTTTCCCGAGAAGTCGTGACCAATGGGGTTCATCCATTCAAGTGTGAGGATAGATATCCCACCGATGACATTGATTGGTGGTTGTGCTAAATCACGAATTGGTAGAAGTTAGAATCCACTCACTGGCCATTGAATCGAGTTCCATTGGCTGAATGGTATGCAAGCTTGCCTTGTAACTGGAAGGTCGTGGATTCAAACGGTGGCAGTTGGTGCGTACTGCCAATGATTGTCAAACTAGGATGAAGCAGCAGCTGTCCAGTACTCCTTGCTAGTTTTCAATGCTTCTCTAACTGATATCAATCCGTGATCGACTCGTAGAAATGGATGAAGTCAAGAATTATATTTATGAACTACAAACCTTTTTTCAGATTCCTTTGCCTTCAGAGTCTTGAAGTTTCAGTAGCAGCGGTGTTGTTTCCACGCGATTAGGTTGCTGGCACCACGCCCAGCCTTTCTTTTATACCGGGCTTACTACCGGGTGTCTAAGAATACATCGACCGGGAATCGAACCCAACATGGCTGGTGAGCATTCTACCAATGAATTACCACAAACCTTAAGAAATGGAAAAGATTGTTACAGAAATCAAGCTCACACTGTAGAACTTGATGGCGGGAAAAACTAATAGTACTGATAACACTAATTATCACAGTATTAAATTGTCCTAGGTTGAGAATAGCAACTTCCTGTCGTTTTAAGTAGCTCTTACTTATAATAAAAGTTATATTCAAAGTCACTTGGTTAAATTAGACTCCAAAATCTTATAGGTATCGGATACAAGGGATATGTTCCCAGTGGAACATAGGACTTCAAGCTAGAGCTTGGAAGTTGCTGTAGCAATGGTTTTTATTTTCACGCGGTGGGATTGCTATCCTCATACCTAAGGGGTATGTCGGTGGGGGATCGAGCCCCGAACCACATAAGTGGTCGGCGAGCATTCTACCGTTAAACCACTGAAGCAGATTTACTAAATAACTATAAAGAATTTCTGTATTTCATCTATCTACTCTTGTTCCGACAACTTAAGTGATATTCTTTTGAAGTTTCACTCTGCGCGGTGTAGTTAGTTGGCATAACACAGCTGTTACAATGAAGATAGGATTGGTGTAACTCTAACACGGGCTACTTTTTCCCGAAAACATTATGTTTTCATGTATTTCTGTGAAATAAGAGTTAGCTCATAGCTAGTATTTCTCTCAATTCAAAATTAATTAAGTAACTGAATTAATGAAGAATTGCACAGCATATTTTTGAACCATTAAGGATAAACGGCTGGTCAGTTCTCTCCCGTATTCCAATAACGTCAGAATATATGCAGTATATGAATACGACTCGTTCATGGAATCTGTGGTTGTCAGTAGAGCAGCATGATGAGTTTATATACGCTGAGTCGTCTACTACATTATGATATAAGAGAAAAAGAATCATAGCCTGGAAAACTTTAAAGCATTTTTGAAAACCTGAATGATGATTATTTATTTTGATCACAGCTTGATTCCACACCGTATTTTTCGGTACAGGTATGGAATTTTCATCATGTGATATCGGTAGCCCAAATTTTGCAGGCCAACTATTGAAATCAGGTGTGCGTCGGCAGGAGATCGAACCCCGGACCATGCGCATGGTCGGCGAGATTCCTAACCACTGTGCCACTGATAATAATAATAGCTTTAATTTAAGGAGTATTTTCGATATAGTGTGCAATTCTCTGCTTTGTTTAGTTGAAAAATAATATTTAGTGCTTCAACCTGCAATATTCTAGATTATATCGAATTCCGACGTTGCAGACAAGGAACAAACTAGGCTAGCTGGTCAAAAAAGAAACACCAATTCTGAACAAATTTCTTGAAAGTAGCTGGTAGATTTTCCCATCTCTGTTCTTATTCTTATCATCGAAAGTTTGTTCTTTATTTATATCCAAGAATTAAGAGTATAAACAGTAGTTCATAACAGTCAAAGTTCTATTCACTAGTACCAAAGAAAAACATGGTCTGTAAACAAGACAACCCGGTTCGCCAAATATTTAACACTTGTTGTGATTTTTCGAATTTCTTTAAACAGGTTACGAATAGCAGCCTACTACTCTGAATATTTCCTACGGTAAATTTCTGTGAGTTTAAATTTTGTTCTTCATAAGCGTTTCCTCTTTCTGTTAAAACAGTTATTTCAGTTTCGAATATTGATAAAATCAGTGTTTCATTTACGCGTATAGCGGTTGAGATGAAAGCTAAATTATCTTTTTGTCTGTCTATAAAAATAAACGTCAACGAAATTCATCTATTTGGCTAAGAACTCACACTAGTTTCTGTTTTTATTCCCTTGTTTCCTAAAAAAGAACACAGTGTAAATGCTATTAACTTAATAAGTAAAAATTAACCAGTCTGATGTCATTGAGAGACAATGGATTTAGTGTACAAGAAGCGTTACATTAAATAACGGGACGACTGAATTTCACGTTGTCTTTTATTTATAATCGTCGGTGTAATTTGCAGAGATTTCACCTTCTAAGGCCTAATGTCTAACATTGGTTTAAGCTAGTCAGACATGTAGTTGAGTAAATCATAGTAATCTGCTATGTTGATTAGTCTCTGGGGTGTAACCAGTCTCATATATTTAGTCTTTACTGGTGTTGGGTGAATTCTGTCAGTCAGTTAACGATATGCCCAGTATTCTAATAGACTTACTATAGTGCTGCATTATTTGAATTAATGTTAGATGTTTGGAGGCAAGTATTACTATCATTCCCTTGGGTTCCGAGTGGAATGTAGGGCTTCAGTAACACATCTCCACTTTCTTCTATTTTCTGCCGTCCTCTTCAGCTGGGTCCACGATTAACCATAATCTCTCACATCTTCCTTGCATAATCTCCTTCATGACACCGTTGCACTGACGCCCCACTAGTCTCTTCATATTTGGATTCCACTCAAGTGACGGCCCGCATTGCGCGTGATGTCATTTGACAGCCCCCTCAATGTATGCCCGATCCATCTCCATTTCCTCCTACATATTTGTTGACCGATAGGTTCCAGGTAAGTTTGTTACCATATTTTCTTGTTGTTTATTCTTTCCGG